ACCCAATGTATGTCCTTCACTCAAAAAAAATTGATTTTGTCACTTGGGAGTTGTAGTTGCTGGGATTTATAGTTCATCTACAATCAGAGAGCATTCTGAACCCCATTGACAATAGAATTGGACCAAACTTGGCACACAGTTCTCCCATGACCAACAGAAAATATGGGCATGGACCTTGCGTTTGGGAGTTGTAGTTCACCTACATCCAGAGAGCACTGTGGACTCAAACAATGATGGATCTGGACCAAACTTGGCACAAGCACTCAATATGCCCAAATATGAACACAGATGGAGTTTGGGGGAAATAGACCTTAACATTTGGGAGTTGTAGTCACTGGGATTCACAGTTCACCTACAATCAAAGAGCATTCTGAACCCTATGAACGACAGAATCGGGGCAAACTTCCCACACAGAACCCCCATGACCAACAGAAAATACTTAAGGCCATCCAATCCAACTCCCTTCATCAGGGCAAGAAAACATAATCAAAGTCCTCCTGACAAAGAGCCATCCAGCCATAGATAGATAGATAGAATTCACACACACAGATATAGTATCATAGACTTGAAAGGGACCCTTAAAGAAGGACAATTATATGTTGCTTGTTCCAGGGTGGGTAAACCAGACACTCTCCAGATCAACACTGACAAAGGAACAGCAAGAAATACTGTTTACCCACAAGCAAAAAGAAATGACATATTTTAGAAACCAACACTTTTTCATTACTTTATTTTCCAGATCAACAGACTGGGCTACAGCAGCGCTTGACAGGGGACAGCTAGTTTCAAAATAAAAATAAAAATCAAGAAAATTACAATAATTGAGACATCAGTTTATGAATATTTACATAAGGTAAGACTGTCCACCTCTGATTGAACCATTATTCTGACCTTCTTCAATGTAAATGTGCTTACGTATCCTTCTAATAATAATAAAGAGAGTAAAATAATAAATGTAATAATAATAATAATAATAATAATAGAGTAAAGTAATGGAAATGTAATAATAACAAAGTAAAATAATAATTATAAGTTGCTTACCTGTAACTGTAAAATAATAAATAACCTTGACTCGAGTATAAGCTGAGGGAGGGGGCTTTTTCAACCTTAAAAAAGTGCTGAAAAACTAGGCTTATATTCGAGTATATACAGTAAGAAGGAAAGGAAGGGAAGAAATAGAAAGGTGGGATGAGAAAGGGAGAAGAAAGAAAGGAAGGAGGAAGAAAAGAAAAGGGGGGGAAGAGAAGAAAAAAAGGTAAGAGGGAAATGAAGGAAAGAAAGAGAAAGATGGGAAGGGAGAAGGAAGATAGGAAGGGGGAAAGAAGAAAGGAAGGGGAAGGAAGAAACAGGAGCAAAGGAAGGAAAGAAAATAAAAGGAGGGAAAGCAAATGAGGAAAAGCAAGGAAAGAAAATAAGGAAGAGAGAAGGAACGGGAGAATGTATGAGGGGGATAAAGGGAAAAAGAGAAAGAAGGGAAGGAAGAAAAAGAAGGGAAAGAAAGAAGGAACCGCAAAGAGAACCTGCCCAGTGTTGTCAGAGTGTTGCCAATAACACAGGATGGAGCTTTAGCACAGCAGGTTAATCACCAATCTGCAATAAATCTTGCCAACCGGAAAGTTGACAGTTTGAAGCCTGGGTTGGGATGAGCACCTGACCTTTAGCCCAGTTTCTGCCTACCTAGGAGTTCAAAAACAAATGTGAGTAGGTAAACAGGAACCACATTAAAGTGGGGAGGTATTTAAGGCATGGCACTTCCACCAAAAAAAGGAGGAAGTTTACGAAGAAAGAAAGCTCTTCGGCAAGAAGATGGAACAACAGCACCCCCCGTGTCCAGAATCAAGCACAGCCTCCAAAGATGCCGAAAGATGGGAAATATATACCTCTTTCTGTTGTCTGTATTGTCATTGTATAATTAACATTGAATGTTTGCTGTATATGTGTTCTGTGATCTACCCTGAGTCCCCGTCGGGGTGAGAAGGGTGGAATATAAATACTGTAAATAAATAAACAATAATGAAAAAAGCAAATACCGTTGGCTCACAGGTGGCCCCTTGAAGTATTTCTCCTCAGCCTTCTGATACTCGATTTTCTCCACGGCTGCAATTGCATAAATGATGGCCTGGTGGGGAAAACAAGACACACAGAGACTCTATCCCTGGGCAGATATTATTGAATGCAGCTCACCGCATCCCTTCAGCACTGGTTAAGGCTAGGGAGGATAGGGGCCGGAGTTCAACACCATTCCTCAGAAAAGTCATCATTGGTTTCAATGCATACTTAAAATACTAAAATCATACATTCAAATAATTCTGTATTATTATTATTTAGTATTATTATTGTTTTGCATTATTATTTTGTGCTATCATTTTTATTATTATTACTATTATTATATAATATATATTATACAACAGTGGGTTAAAGCACTGAGCTGCTGTACTTCTTAACCGAAAGGTCACAGGTTCGAATCTGGGGAGTGGGATGGGCTCCTACTGTCAGCCCCAGCTTCTGCCAACCTAGCAGTTCGAAAACATGCAAATGTGAGATCAATAGCTACCGCTCCGGTGGGAAGGTAATGGGAAGGTGACGGCGCTCCATGCAGTCATGCTGGCCACATGACCTTGGAGGTGTCTATAGACAACGCCGGCTTAGAAATGGAGATGAGCACCAACCTACAGAGTGGACTTAATGTCAGGAGAAAACGTTTAACTTTTCCTTTACTACAATAATGTAGTCATATATAATACTAATATTGTGCTATGCTAAATATATATATATATAATATTGATCATAATATTATAATGTAATACAATATAATAATACTAATAATGATACAGTATAATAACTGTATATTATATATTACATGCAATATTACTAATAATATTGCACTATAGTGGTATAGTACAATATAGTAATATATAATACTAATATTGTGCTATGCTAATATATATATATATATAATATTCATCATAATATAATAACATAATACAATATAATACTAATATTACAATATAATAATATAATAATTATACATTACATGTAATATTACTAATAATATTGCATTATAGTGGTATAGTACAATATAGTAATATATAATACTAATATTGTGCTATGCTAAGACTATATAGGGCCCCCGGTGGCTCAGTGGGTTAAAGCACTGAGCTGCTGAGCTTGTTGATTGAAAGGTCGCAGGTTCGATTCCGGGGAGCAGTGTGAACTTCCGCTGTCAGCCCTAGCTTCTGCCAACCTAGCAGTTCGAAAACATGCAAATGTGAGTAGATCAATAGGTACCGCTCTGGCGGGAAGGTAACGGTGCTCCATGCAGTCATGCTGGCCACATGACCTTGGAGGTGTCTACGGACAACGCTGGCTCTTCGGCTTAGAAATGGAGATGAGCACCACACCCCAGAGTCAGACATGACTGGACTTAATGTCAGGGGACAACCTTTAACCTTTACCTAAGACTATAATGTATTGTATATACATATAACTTTGTCAAACCCTAATAACATGTAAGCCGCTCTGAGTCCCCTTTGGGGTGAGAGAGGACGGGGTATAAAAATAGTAAATAAATAAATAAATATTATTAATCTTGCCCTGAAAACCTGACGACACATTCATTGTAGGTTGGAAACAGTCGGAAGGCACATACCACCACCCGCATCACTTCTGGTGATCCAAATGACTATTGAGAAACATTTCAAAGGAAAACAATGGCGTCTCCCCTGGCCAAGGCTATTGCTTGTTCTTGGAAAGCACACCCCTGGGGTGCATTCCTAACCTCTGGGAAAAGGACATCCAAGATGAAGCGGACCCTGTCGCGGCAGAAGCCCGGCAGGACCTTGTTGCCCGTCCGATGATAAACCCCCTCCAAATAGTGGAACACCAGGTCTTGCTGGGTGTCATCCTCCAGGTAGGTCTCTATGTACTTGACGTGCTGCTGGCCGGGGAGGAATTGGGCCAGCCATCGCGAGGACTTCTGCTGCCGCAGGATGGCCTGGAGGTGCTCCTCGGCCCCTTGGGCGTTGACGATGAAGTCCACCAGCTTTTGGTTGGCCTTGTCCCTTGCCGCCCGCGTCCGGTCGGGGAGCAGTTTGGCCCGCTTCGGCCGAGTCGCCTTGGAAGGAGTGCCCTGGCCCTCCTCCTCTTCAACGTTCAAGAAATTCATCAAGGACCGGTGTGGGAGGCCTTCGTTTCGCACCGGAAAGCCTGGAGAAGGAAACAGCAGGCCTGGCGATTTCACGATCTGACACCGGCGCATCTTAAGCCGCAAGTCTGCTGCATCCCTCATGTACCTGTTATCTACAACTGTTTCTTCCCTCTGTGGCATCAATGGTTCTATCCATCCATCCGATTCAAGGATTCTGTGGCACTATCATCTATCCTATTTAAAGGGGTTGGACTGGATGACTATTAGGGTTACAACTCCAGCATTCCATGATTCCATCTATCTATCCATTCGACTAGGATTCTATGATCCAATCATATCTATCTATCTATCTATCTATCTATCTATCTATCTATCTATCTATCTAATCTAATCTAATCTAATCTATGTCTGTCTGTCTGTCTGTCTGTCTACCTACCTAATCTATCTATCTACCTACCTACCTACCTTATCTATCTATCTATCTATCTATCTATCTATCTATCTATCTATCTATCTATCTAGTCTGTCTGTCTGTCTGTCTACCATATCTATCAACTTATCTAGCTACCTACCGTATCTATCTATTGATCCATCCAGGGTCAGAGAAGCAGATTAAGAAAACAGAAGAATGGCCTGCCTCAGGGGAGCATGCTAACTCCATCAGTATTCAACATTTACACAAATGATCAGACAGAATCTGATCATTTACATAACATAATAAAGTACATAACAACCAAATCAAATAATTAACATGATGCAGGTTAACAAGGAAAACAATAACAAATCAGGCTTCCTGTGACTGCGTCCTGCTTGGCATATTGTGTTGAGGCCAGAGGGGGACAGAGTTTCATCTATGCTGACGATCGTGCCATCACCACTCAAGCACGGAGCTTTGAAATGGTTGAACAGAAGCTCTCCGAAGCTTTGGGTGCTCTTATTGCCTATTACAGGGAACAGCTGATTCCTAATCCATCTAAAATGCAGATGTGTGATTTTCATCTAAAGAACACACAAGCATCTCGAACCCCGAGGATGACCTGGGAAGGAATCCCACTGGAGCATTGCAGCACACTAAAATACCTGGGAGTCACTCTGGACCGTGCTCTGACTTACAAGAAGCACTGCTTGGATATCAAGCAAAAAATGGGTGCTAGAAATAATATCATACGAAAGCTGACTGGCACAACCTGGGGATCGCAACCAGACACAGTGAAGGCATCTGCTCTTGCACTTTGCTACTTTGCTGCTGAATACACATGCCCGGTGTGGAATACATCTCACTATGTTAAAACAGTGGATGTGGCTCTTAATGAGACACGCTGCATTATCACAGGATGTGTATGCCCAACGGCACTGCAGAAATTATACTGTTTCACTGGTATTGCACCACCTGACATCCATCGGGGAGTAGCAGCCTATAATGGAAGGACCAAGGCAGTGACATCTCCGGCCCATCCTCTGTTTGGATAGCAGCCAGCATGCCAATGTCTTAAATCAAGAAATAGCTTCCTAAGATCTACAGAGATACTTGCAGGAACACCTTAGCAACCGAGAGTCCAAAAGTGGCAGGCAAAAACTCAGAACCTCAATCCATGGCTGATATGGAATGAGAGACTCCCTCCTGGGCACACAGAAGACTGGGCAACTTGGAAGACGCTGAACAGGCTGTGCTCTGGCACCATGAGATGCAGAGCCAACCTTAAGAAATGGGGTCATAAAGTGGAGTCCACAACATGCGGGTGTGGAGAAGAGCAAACCACAGACGACTTATTACAATGCAGCCTGAGCCCTGCCACACGCACAATGGCGGTCCTTCTCACAGTGACACCAGAGGCACTCCAAGTGGCCAGCTTCTGACATTTAGTATAATGCCAAGTTTTAAAGTTTGTTTGTGGCGTTTCTATACATAATAACTGTATTCCCAATTTGCTTTTGACACAATAACTAAATATCCATATGTTAGACACTAGAATTCTATGAACCTATCATCTATCCTATTTAAACGAGTTTGACTGGATGGCTCTTGTGGTCTCTTATTTATTTATTTACTTTGCTTATATACCGCTGTTCTCAGCCCGGGAGCGACTCTTCCAACTCTAGCATTCTATTATTCTATCTGTCCATAAATCTGACTAGGATTCTATGATCCAAATCTATCTATCTATCTATCTATTTATTGGGGTTCAACCAGATGGCTCTTGGGGTCTCTTCCAATGGTAGCACCCCCCCCCCCCCATCCATCTGACTAGGATTCTATGATCCCATCATCAATCTATCTATCTATCTATCTATCTATCTATCTATCTATCTAGGTAAAGGGATTGGACTGGGTAGCCCTTGGGAACTCTTTCGACTCTGATTCTATGATTCTATGTATGTATGTCTGTCTGTCTGTCCACCATCTATCTTTGGGGACTGGACTGGATGAACCCTGGTGTATTTTCTATCTCTAGGATTCTATGATTCTATCATCTATCTATCTGAGAATGTTTAGGAGTTCAGTGGTCAGGCAGAGAAAAGGTTACAGTCCCCTCTATTCTGCTTTTGTAATCAATGAATACTCTCTTCAATCAAATCTAACGCTCACCTTTTTTCGCTAAATGACCACCCCAAAATTGGGATGCACATTAGATTTGCGTCATATGGTAATCGTAGTGCTGAGCCAAAGCAAAAGGGGAAGCTACTTCACCTACAGCTCCTCTTTGAGGGACGCTGTCTCTAATCTGATGGCTATGGCTCAATGCTATGCAATGCTGGGATTTGTAGTGACCTTGAAGTAATACTTACTCATGGGATTGGAACAATACTCCAAGAAGGACCCTGTGAAGGAATTGCAACCTATATGGGAAAGGAGAGGTCTCAGTTGAAATTTTGGATACTAAAAACACACAAAAAGAGTGTATAAACATAGACAACAATTGCTAAATGAACACACATTCTACCTATCCCTCTAAAACTACCCAACATAGACATACATTGGTTTTAGAAGTGGATTTCCAGCTTCTCTTTGGTCGGTTTCTCTATAAATGGGAGGTTTTCTTCCACTTTCTACCCAGTAAATGGTTTACTTCTGTTTGTTTTAACATCTGCAAAGGAATATTCCCAAAGTTTGATGTTGCCAGACCTGGACATCAAGTCTTTCCCTTTCCCTCCCATGTATATTGACAAAAGGGTTTCCCTTCTTTTGAGAAATGTGTCCAGTGAAGCTCAAAGACTAATTCCAGGGAGGTTAAACAACAATACCAATACTAATGCTACCATTACTAATATTAACAGTAATAATACATGACTAGACCCAAGGAGGTTAATAATAATAATAATAATAATAATAATAATAATAATAGACCATATTATTAATAGACCAGACCTAGAGAGCTTAACAACAACAATAACAACAGATCAGTATAAGAATAATAACAATAAGTTAAATAATAATAATAATAATAATCAACCAGATCCAGAGATGTTAACAATAATAATACTAATAATAATAATAGACCAGATTCAGGTAAGTATAATAATAATAATAGACCAGATCAGATTCAGGGAAGTTTAATAATAATGATAATAATAATAATAATAATAATAATAACTTTATTTCTAGACTGCCCTCTCTCCCTAAAGGGACTCTAGGCAGTTTACACACAAAAAAGGCAAACATGCAATGCCTCAAATGAGTACAACCACATCAAAAATAATATAGGATAATACACAGTAACAACAGTAAACTTACAACAAAAGAATAAAGCATCGAAATGAAAATAACAACAGAAACAATCTAATAAGACATAATAAACTAAAACATGAGTAAACACTGCAACATATACCCCAAAACAATTAAGATACAATTTCATTGAAAATGGCTAACATCTGTGTTCATTTAAGCTGTACCATAGCCGCTATATAATATAAGTGGATTAGCCAGAGTTCCAATGGGTTAAAATGTCCTAGTCCTCTTCCTCTCCATACACTAAGGTGCATAGCTGCATTTTCAGAAGTTTCTTAAAGGAGAGGAGGGAGTTCCAGAGAGGGGAAGTGATCAGGGAGAGGGCCCCCTCTCTCATTCCCACCAACCAAGCTTGTGACAGAGGTGGGACCGAGAGGAGAGCCTCCTCCATTGACTGCAGTGCATGGGATGGTCTGTATAGGGAGATGCGATTACACAAGTAACCTGGAGACAAACTGTTTAGGGCTTTATAGGTAACAACCAACACTTTGTATTTACCTCAGAAGCAGATCGGCAGCCAGTGGAGCTGCTGTGGCATGGGAATTGTCCGCTTCCTGTACGGCGCTCCAGTTAGTAATGTGGCTGCCGATCTCTGAACCAACTTCAAAGGCAGCCCCATAGAATCATAGAATCAAAGAGTTGGAAGAGACCTCATGGGCCATCCAGTCCAACCCCCTGCCAAGAAGCAGGAATATTGCATTCAAATCACCCCTGACAGATGGCCATCCAGCCTCTGTTTAAAAGCCTCCAAAGAAGGAGCCTCCACCACACTCCGGGGCAGAGAGTTCCACTGCTGAACGGCTCTCACAGTCAGGAAGTTCTTCCTCATGTTCAGATGGAATCTCCTTTCTTGTAGTTTGAAGCCATTGTTCCGCGTCCTAGTCTCCAGGGAAGCAGAAAACAAGCTTGCTCCCTCCTCCCTGTGGCTTCCTCTCACATATTTATACATGGCTATCATATCCCCTCTCAGCCTTCTCTTCTTCAGGCTAAACATGCCCAGCTCCTTAAGCCGCTCCTCATAGGGCTTGTTCTCCAGACCTCATAGGGCTTGTTCTCCAGACCCCACCTAGAGAGTGTTGCAGTACTCCAGACGAGATGTGACTAAGGTGTGGACTACAATGGCCAGATCTGGCATCCCAAGGTATGGGCGCAAGTTTTAGTTGTGCAAAGGCGTTCCTGGCCACTGCCGACACCTGGAGTTCCAGGGTCAGCGATGAGTCCAGGATCACCCCCAGACTGCGAACCTATGTCTTCAGAGGGAGTGTGACCCCATCCAATACAGGCTGTAACCCCACACCCTGATCCACCTTCCGAATGACTAGGAGCATCTATGTCTTGTTTGGATTCAATTTCAACTTGTTCACTCTCCTCCAGTGCATTACTGGAGGACAGCGAACTGGTTTAGGGGCAGGACGGCATCCTTGGCATTTGGTGGAAAGGAATAATAGACCTGGGTGTCGTTGGCCAAAATTTGACACCGAACTCCAAAACTCCGTATGATCTCTCCCAGGGGATTCATGTAGATGTTAAACACCATGGAGGACAGAAGTGAGACCTGAGCAACCGCATAGGACACTGGCCAGGGAGTCAAACAAGAGTCCCCCAGCACCACGTTCTGGGTCCGTCCCTTCAGGAAAGACCAGAGCCGCTGTAAAACAGTACCCCAAACCCCATCCTGGAGAGATGGCCCAGAGTCTCCACTGCTGCCAAACAGAGAATAAAGAAATCCCCTTTTCTGGGCAAAGAGGGGGGAACAACCACTTACCAACTCTGATCTGGTAGTCCTCTATCAAATTGAGGCACCATTTGATCTCGTGCTTGTAATCTCCTTGGACTTCATCCTGGGGGAAAAAGAGGACCCAAACAATGACCAATGTCCAGTCGGACACTGATATCAGGAAAGATTCTGGAGTAGATCATGAAGGAGGCAGTCTTGTCATCACTTAAAAAGGCTATGATTTCTAAGAGTCAACATGGGTCCCAACAAAACAGCTTAAGTTTATCTCTCTTTTAATGGGGTTACAAACTGGATAAATGCAGGGAATACTGTGGATGGAACGGAAGTGGATTGTGATGAGGCCTTGGATAACATCCCACATGATCTTTGTGCAAATAACACTAGTAAAACATGGTCTGGATAATGCTCTCTTCCAATTCTATGATTCGAAGGATGCAACCAGCTAGGCAGGTAATGAATTTCAAAATGTGAAATGTAAGTATACTAATGACATAGTTACTATATGTTGTTTTTCTTTCATAGCCAAGTGAGTGCATGGTTTCCAACTCCATTTAAAAATTGCTCCCAAATTTAATATATTGCATATCTATATATATATATAAATCTGTTAGGTTGGTTCAACGGGACAGCAAAACTCCACAACCCCCCAACGAAACTTAACCAAAATTCCCATGCCCATAACACAACCCACAAGGTACAAACATATCTACTCAAAATGAAAAACAACACAACAACACACTCACAAAACGGCAAAACAACAAAACTCACAAACCCCCCAATGAAACTTAACCAAAATTCCCATGCCCATAACACAACCCACAAGGTATAAACATATCTACTCAAAATGAAAAACAACACAACAACACACTCACAAAACGGCAAAACAACAAAAATCACAAACCCCCCAACGAAACTTAACCAAAATTCCCATGCCCATAACACAACCCACAAGGTACAAACATATCTACTCAAAATGAAAAACAACACAACAACACACTCACAAAACGGCAAAACAACTGAGCATGCGCATTGGCGCCCAGCCGCAAGTTCCCTGGCGCGCACATGGCCTTCCGGCCAACGTTCCCTCTGCAGAAACCATGCCCACTCCAAGCCCCGCCGCGCCGCTTCCCGCACACACACACACCCTGCCGCACACACACACGCAACCCCACGCTCCATCACTCCCCCCGCCGCACACACACACGCAACCCCACGCTCCATCACTCCCCCCACCGCCGCACACACACGCAACCTACCGCACATCCCCACCCTCTACCACCTGACCTCCGCACATCACACACGACCACCACACGCTCCATCACTCCCCCCGCCCGCACACACACACGCAACCCCACTCCCTGCCGCCGCACACACACACGCAACCCCATCACTCCCCCGCCGCCGCACACACACACGCACAACCCCACGCTCCATCACTCCCCCGCGCCGCACACACACACGCAACCCCACGCCCCACCCCCCGCACACCCACACGCAACCCCACGCTCCATCCCCCGCCGCCGCACACACGCACGCAACCCCACGCTCCATCACTCCCCCTGCCGCACGCACACACACACGCAACCCCGCGCTCCATCACTCCCCCCGCCGCACACACACACGCAACCCACGCTCCATCACTCCCCCCACGCCGCACACACACGCAACCCCACCCCCCCCCCCGCTGCCGCACACATACACGCAACCCCACGCTCCATCACTCCCCCCGCGCACACACACACAGCACCCACTCCCCCCCGCCGCACACACACACACGCACCCCCACCCTCACTCCCCCCCCGCCCGCACACACACACGCAACCCCCCATCCCCCCCGCCGCCGCACACACACACGCAACCCCACGCTACATCACTCCCCCGCCGCCGCACACACACACGCAACCCCACGCTCCATCACTCCCCCGCCGCACCACACACACGCAACCCCACGCTCCATCCCCCCCCCGCACACACACACGCAACCCCACTCCATCATCCCCCGCCGCCGCACACACACACGCAACCCCACGCTCCATCACTCCCCCCCCTGCCGCACACACCCACCCCATCCCACTCCCCCCGCCGCCACACAAACATACGCAACCCCATGCTCCATCACTCGCACACACACACGCAACCCCACGCTCCACTCCCCCCCCGCCGCACACACACACGCAACCCCACTCCCCCCACCGCCGCACACACACACACAACCCCACGCTCCATCACTCCCCCCCGCCGCCGCACACACACACGCAACCCCACGCTCCATCACTCCCCCCCTGCCGCACACACACAACCCCACGCTCCCTCACTCCCCCGCCGCCGCACACACACACGCAACCCCACGCTCCAACACTCCCCCCGCCGCCGCACACACACACGCAACCCCACTCCCCCCGCTGCTGCACACACACACGCAACCCCACACTCCATCACTTTCCCCGCTGCCGCACGCACACACGCAACCCCACTCCCCCGCCGCCGCACGCACACACACACGCAACCCCACGCTCCATCACTCCCCCCGCCGCCGCACACACACGCAACCCCACGCTCCATCACTCCCCCCCCGCCGCACCCACACACCCCCACGCTCCATCACCCGCCGCCCACACACACACGCAACCCCACGCTCCATCACTCCCCCAGCCGCCCACACACACACACAACCCCCCCCCCCCCGCCGCCGCACACACACACACGCAACCCCACGCTCTATCACTCCCCCGCCGCCGCACACACACACACACACCCCACGCCTGCAACCTCCCCCGCCCCTGCACACACACACGCAACCCCACGCTCCATCACTCCCCCCCCCGCCGCACACACACACAACCCCCCCCGCCGCCCCACACACACACGCAACCCACGCTCCGTCCCTCCCCCCGCCGCCGCACACACGCAACCCCACGCTCCATCACTCCCCCGCCGCCGCACACACACACACACGCAACCCCACGCTCCATCACTCCCCCCGCCGCCCACACACACTCCACCACTCCCCCGCCGCCGCACACCCCACGCAACCCCCCCTCCCCCCGCCGCCGCACACACACACGCAACCCCATGCTCCATCACTCCCCCCGCCGCCCACACACACGCAACCCCACTCCCCCCCCGCCGCACACACACACACGCAACCCCACGCTCCATCACTCCCCCCCGCCGCCACACACACACGCAACCCCACGCTCCATCACTCCCCCGCCGCCGCACACACACACAACCCCACGCTCCATCACTCCCCTGCCCCAATCTTACCTCCTTTTACTTCACGCCACCTCCAAACCCCACCCCGCCCCTTCCCGCCCTGTCAAAATCCAGGAAAGACAGGAAGGAAGGAAAGAAGGAAGAAAGAGAAATGGAGATAAAGAAAAGGCGGAAGGAAGGAAAGTTAGAGAAAGAAGGAAGAAGAAAAGGAAAGGAAAGATGGAAGGAAAGAAAAGAGAGACAGCAGAAGAGAAAGAAAAAGGGGTAAGGAAGGAAAGAGGTAGAGAAGGAAGAAATGAGAGACAGAGGGAGGGAAAGAAAAAGGGGGAAGGAAGGAAGGAGAGAAGGAAAGGAAAAAGGGAATGAAGGAAGGAAAGAGGGAGTGAAGGAAGGGGAAGATGTAGAGAAAGAGGGAGGGAAGGAAAGAAGGAAAGAGAGAAGGAAGAAAAGAGACAGAGGAGAAAGAAAAAAGGGGGAGGAAGGAGGAAAGAAAAAAAGGGGGGAAGGGAAGGAAGGAAGGGAAAGAGAGAAGGAAGGAAGGGAACAAGGAAGGAGGAAGAGAAAAAGGGAGGAAGGAAAGAGGAAAAGAAGAGAAGAGAAGAAAAGAGAGAGGAAGAAAGAAAAAGGGGGGAAAGGAGAGAAGGAAGAAAAAAGGGAAGAAGGAAGGAAAGAGGAGTGAAGGAAGGGGGAAGATGTAGAGAAAGAGGGAGGGGAAAGAAAAAGAGAAGGAAGAAAAGAGACAGCAGAAGAGAAAGAAAAAGGGGGAAGGAAGGAAAGAGATAGAGAAGGAAGAGGAGAAGGAAAGATGGGAGGGAAGGAAGGAGGGAAGGAAGGAGAGAAAGAGGGAAGGTTGGCCACAGCAACACGTGGCGGGTAAAGGTTGTTATTTCTATTATTATTATGCTATTATTCCTATGAGACCCTGGGGGAATGGGAGAGGTGTCAGGTCCCAGAGGCAATGCATTGCATTATTGTTATTGTTATGATGGTGGTGAAATAAAAGGAAATAAAAAGTGAAAGAAGGAAGCAAACAGGGAGGGAAGAAAGGCAAAGGAAGAAAGGGGGAGGGAATGAAGGAAAGAGAGAAGGATGAAACCAAGTAGTGAAAGAAGGAAAGAAGAGAAAGAGAGAAGGATGAAACCAAGTAGTGAAAGAAGGAAAGAAAGAAAGAGGTAGAGAAGGAAGAAAGGAGAGAAAGGGGGGAGGAAAAGGGGGAAGGAATAGGTAGGTACCTCTCTTTCATAATAGTCCAGATATCTACCTCAACTTTGATAAGTTTTACTATAGGCCACAGCAACGCGTGGCAGGGCACAGCTAGTACTTACTATGAAGGCCTGCTTCTCTTTGCAATCAAAGTGTTTGAGGTTTCTGAGACAGACAGAGAAGCTGCATTGAAAGAGAAGGGAAACAGAGTTACTGAAAAGGAAACAGTCAAAACGTAAGGGAATTCCTCAGCCCTCTGACTTCCAGAACTGCAAATAGCTTCCCACTTCCACAAATGGCTTTAACCCACAGTGCCGAGAAGCCAGCAAAAGCTCTCCCTCCAATGACATTTCAGGTTATAGTGAACGCCATGAACATGTAGCTCAACCCCTGCCAATGTCCTTCCCGAACACCATACTGCCCACTACCCAAGGAATGATTTCATTTGGGGACAATTTCATCCTGGATTTTATGTGTTTCCTCCAACACAGACATCCCAGTGTTTCTGACTCTCTGCATTGGAGTGAAATTTGCATGACCCTGCCCACTGCCTCTCCCTTAATCCTTTCCTATACTTTTCTGTGGCACACGGCAAACAGAGGAATTGATCAGCAACTGAACATACTGGTTGGAGGACTGACTTGACATGATGGAAGTTGTAGTTTACCCCGCTTCAAGACAGAGCATTGGGATGCCCACCAATGACGGACCTGGACCCCATTTGGCACACAGAACCCCATGAACAACAAAAATACTGGAGGGCTTTGGGAGGGGGGGAATTCACTGTGCTTTATAGCAGTTGTATGTACTGGGAAGTATAATTCACCTGCAATCAAAAATCATTCTGAACCCTACCAACGATGGACCTGGACCTAACCTGGCAGACAGAACCCTTATGTCCAACAAAAAATACTGGAGGGCTTTGGGGGGAATTCACTTTGGTTTGGGGGAGTTGTAGTTCACCTACATCCAGACAGCTCTGTGAACCCAAATGACAATGGATATGGACTATACTTGGCACACTTACCCAATATGCGCAAAACTGAATACTGGGGGGATTTGGGAGAGACTGACCTTGATTTTGAGAGTTGTAGTTCATCTACAATCAGAGAAACTGTGAACCCCACTGACGATGGACCTGGATCAAACTTGGCACACAGAACCACCATGAACAACTGAACCTACTGGAGGGGTTTGAGGGGACTGACCCACCATGGTGGGAGCTGTAGTTCATCCTGCAGCCAGAGACCCCACGGACCCCACCAATGTTGCATCTAGAGCAACCTTGCCCAACATGACAAACTTTAGTCACTGATGGGAAATTCATGGGGTTAACCTGGCATGATCACCCACAAACTTATGCATTTTGTAAATTTTTAAAAAATGACTTTTTCAAATAACTTGGGTAACCAACTTAGTAATGAATAATAACAATATAACGGTGTAATTCCAGTTCTTCTAATGCAGACTAATACGGCCTTGCTTGGGGTAACTTAGGAAATTGTTTAGATCTTTACTGAACTATATGTGTCAATACTTGAGAAGGAGGACAACAGCAGTGGCCATTCTTAATAGGGACTTTTCGGTATAAGCCTCTCAGTATACAGACCATGGTAGCCATTTTTAATAGGGCCTTACTGTATTAATCTCTCACCAATGACATTGTGGCAACCATTTTGATAGGGCCTCATTGCATAAGCTCCTCAACATAAATAATGTGGCAGTTGATTGTAATAGGGCCTTATGGTCATTCCAAGCCAAGTGGTCTAACCCTTCCCACCATTATGTCTCCAATTTTATTCAAATTTAGCTGTAACGCCAGTCAGGTGTTAAACTAAGTTCCCCAAAATTTGAGGTTTCTAACTGCAATAGTTGCTGATCTAGACTCCCGTATCTGAAGGGAGTGTGTGCACAAAATTTAAGAAAATTGAATTTTTGAGGCCTAATAAAATTGAAACTAAATGTATAAGAATGGCTAAGTACACTGAAATCCTGTACAGTTTTTTTCTGTAAAATATTTTTTTCTGTAAAATAATTTGAAAATTGTGGGTGCAAAATCCAGTCAAACAAGTTGAATCAGAGTGTGCATGAAAATGTGTCGCAACTCATCGTGACAAATTTTAACCAATATTCAAATTGCAATAATTTCCATGCAAACAAAGATACGGACTTGAAATATTGACCAAGCATGATGCTTGTGCTGGACATAATACTGCTAGATTTGTGACTACCCAGCATGGAATGACCCCTTATTATATAAGCTTTGAATATAAAAGCCTTGCTCTTCCGCTGACTCTCTTCCTGGCCGATTTTCTGCCAGAGAAGTCAGAAGGCAATGCAGGAGCAAGCCTTGCTTTCAAAATGCTGGAGAGAGGACAGCAAAACCATGGCAATTTTGCTTTGCTCTGCTTACCCTTTGCCTTTGTTCTCCATGCCTTTCATCACAAAAAGAACGATGGCCTTCCTGTCTTTCCGCTTCATCTTCTTCACCTGTCAGAAGGCAAACCCAACTGCTTAAACGCACATAGATCTCTGCTACTGAAAGGAGGCTGGGCTCTTTCCTGAGGTCATGGGACAGAGAAGCCTGTTTGCAGGAAGCCGTACCTCCCAATTAGGAAATATTAAAAAATTATTATTAAAATATTACCCCCAATTTGGGGGTAAAAGGTGGGCTTCTTGGAGGACTGACTCATGGGGCCCAGAAGTGGCACTTTCTGCACCCAAGGAAAGCGATAACAGCTCAAAGGGCTCCCTCAGTAGTTTACAAGGAAAGTACAGATTACTAATAAGGTCCTATTAATTACCAAATCATACAGACAAATACAATTAAATACATTGGTAAATCTTCTTGCTGTCAGGAATATTAAAAATTAACTAGGTAGTTTTGATTACAAAAGTGTGAATCAAGCACTGAAAGAGTTAATAAGCCGAAGCCTGTTAGTCAGTGGGCCAAATCAAGTGTTATCCTGAGGAGAGTGAGTAGGCCGAAGCCTGACAGAGTCAGTGCGCCAAAGCCAGTGTCATCCTGAGGAGAGTGAGTAGGCTGAAGCCTGTTAGAGTCAGTGGGCCAAAGCAAGTGTCGTTCTGAGGAGAGTGAGTAGGCCGAAGCCTGTTAGAGTCAGTGGGCCAAAGCCTGTTAAGAGTCAGTGGCCAAAGCTAGTGCCATCCTGAGGAGAGTGAGTAGGCCGAAGCCTGTTAAGAGTCAGTGGGCCAAAGCTAGTGCCATCCTGAGGAGAGWGAGTAGGCCGAAGCCTGTTACGAGTCAGTGGGCCAACGCTAGTGTCATCCTGGGGTGAGTGAGTAGGCTGAAGCCTGTTAAGAGTCGGTGGACCAAAGCGAGTGTCGTCCTGGGGTGAGTGAGTAGGCCCAAAACTGTTAGTCAGTGGGCCAAAGCTAGTGCCGTCCTGAGGAGAGTGAGTAGGCCGAAGCCTGTTAGAGTCATTGGGCCAAAGCTAGTGCCGTCCTGAGGAGAGTGAGTAGGCCGAAGCCTGTTAAGAGTCAGTGGGCCAAAACTAGTGCCGTCCTGAGGAGAGTGAGTAGGCCGAAGCCTGTTAGAGTCAGTGGGCCAAAGCTAGTGCCGTCCTGAGGAGAGTGAGTAGGCCAAAGCCTGTTAGAGTCAGTGGGCCAACGCTAGTGCCGTCCTGAGGAGAGTGAGTAGGCCAAAGCCTGTTWGAGTCAGTGGGCCAAAGTTAGTGTCGTCCTGGGGTGAGTGAGTAGGCCCAAAACTGTTAGTCAGTGGGCCAAAGTTAGTYTCGTCCTGGGGTGAGTGAGTAGGCCCAAAACTGTTAGAGTCAGTGGGCCAAAGTTAGTGTCCACCTGAATACTGTGAGATAAACCACTGTGTGTGAGAAGCTTCAGTGAAAGAAGCCTCAAGTTAAAGGCCTCATGTGCATAGCTCATGTGTAAAGCTCCTGAGGAGGGTCTTTTGTTAATAAGCCCACTTGCCCAACACTTACCACTGCAGGCCAGTATGGATATCCTCGGGTCTTGCACCAAACCAGCTTCCCTTCTTTGATAGGACCCAGTTCTGAAGATACAAGAAGAGATATGCAGAGTAAAACTCGGAGGCTATAAATCTTATTAAATCAACTAGGAGGAAAGTCCAGTTTAACCTGTTTGAAACTGCACTATATTCCCAACAAATAACACAGTTCTGCATTACTATACTTTCTTGGGCAAACTCTTTTTAAAAAATGGTTTCAATACATATATGTTTTTTCTTAACTTTTATGGATTAATATTCATGCTTGTTGTTTTTATATGTTTGTTCATACGGCACTGAATTGTTGTCAGTTTGTAAGCTGCTCTCAGTTTCCTTCGGGGTGTGAAGGGCATAATACAAGTGATAATATGTATGTATGTGTGTGGCTGGGGTGTCCACTTACACAGACAAAGTCTTGCCTCCACTAACAGCTATGGCTCCCACTACTCAGGAGACACCAATGGCCCTCCCTCCAATGACACTGCAGGTTATAGTGAGCACCATGAACATGTCCAAGAGCCCTGCCAATGTCCTCCACAAACACCATACTGCCCACCACTCAAGTGGAGGCTTTCATACGTGGAAAATTTCATTCTAAATGTTATGTGTTTCCTCCACCACAAACATCCCAGTGTATATTTCTCTCTAAATTGATGTGGAATTTGCATGACACCACCCACTGCCTCTCCCTTTATCCTTTCATATTCTTTTCTATTTCACATAGCAAGCAGAAGAATTGATCAGCAACTGAACATACTAGAGAGGTTTGGGGAGAATTCACCATGATGTATAGGAGTTATAGGTCCTGGGATGTATAGTTCACCTGCAAAACCACCCTGAACTCCACTAAAGTTGGACCTGGAACTAGCTTGGCACACAGAACCCCCATGATCAACAAAACATACTGGAGTTCTTTGGAGGGATTTAGAGGAGTTGTAGTTCACCTACATCCTGATAACACTATGAACCCAATGATGGATTTGGACCAAACTTGGCACACATACCTGGTATGCCGAAATTTGATTACTGGAAGGGTTTAAGGGGAACTGGCCTACCTTTCTGGGGGTTGTTGTTCACCCACAACCAGAGAAACTGTGACCTCCACCAATGATGGACCTGTACCAAACTTGGCACACAGAACTCCCATGACTAACCCAACCCACTGGAGTGGTTTATGGGGACTGGATCACCATAGTGGGAGTTGTAGTTCACCCGACAGCCAGAGAGCACACTGAACTCCACCGATGATGCATCCAAAGCAAACTTACCCAACATGACAAACTTTAAAGACTGATGGAGTTTCTCTGGGCTAACCTGCCATGATGTGAGTTGCAGTTCACCCACAACTTTCTGCACTTTGTACAATTAAAAATTGACTTTTTCAACTAACTTGGAAAACGCCAGGTATCCAAGCTAGTAAATAAATAATTCTTTTCTACTGTTTGCTCTAATGGCTGAAATATCTCTTTTACTGAAAGACTATCTGGAATATTTTAATATTTAATATTTCCTACACTGTCATATAATCTAGCTTCCGAATCCAGATGATCTGCTTTGAACTGGATTGTATGGCTATAGTATAGACTCATGTAATTCAGTTCAAAAGAGGTCATCTGAATTCAGAAACCAGATTACATGGCAGAAGAATGTGACAGAGAAACACACAGGTCAAGTCTCGGTTCTCTCTGACATGCTTTGAACCAGAAGTGTTTGGGATTTCCTCCCGCGATTTTGGAATACCCGTATTTACATATGCATACATCTTTGAGAAGGGAGCCAGGTCTAAATACAAAATTCATCCACGTTCTATAGGAAGATTATAATTTATTACAAAGTATTTTGCATGCAACAAAATTTGCATATATTTTGAGTAGGACCTCTCACCTTGAGGCAGGAAGAAGCTGGGCAACTCCTCATCCTCCTCCTCGCTGCTGATAGCGCGAGTGAAGGACCTCGTTCTGACAGGAGACAGGGAAAGGTCAGAGCTGGACTCCAGACCTGTGAACAAAAAAAAAAGTGACACTGAAATCTAGTTATCTCTGCAGTCAAAGGAAGGAGCAGAGAGAAGAGAGCCATGCCAAATCCTTCACCTGCTGCCAACCCACTGGTCTTACTTCTAGATCTGTTTAGAGCAGTGGTTCCCAACCTTTTTTTGACCAGGGACCACTTGAACAGGGAATGCTTTGACCGGGACCACTCTCCAACATTAGTACCAAAAGGGTTATGAATCCGTTTTTGGTCATCTTTAGATGCGGTTTGGTGATTTGGGGTACTGATTTAGAAAACTGCATTGCACAGACCACATCAGCTCTATCCATCCATGTTCAACATCTACACAAATGACCAGCCACTGCCAGAAGGGACAGAGAATTTCATCTATGCTGATGATCATGCCATTACTGCTCAAGCAGGGAGCTTTGAAATGGTTGAACAGAAGCTTTCTGAAGCTCTAGGTGCTCTTACTTCCTATTACAGTGAA